TATACGGGAATTCTTAATGGTCTGGCCCTGTGTAAGTTTCTTCATTCTTATTGCGAACGAGTATAAAAAAAGGACTTTCCCTAAAAACACTGCTAAAGAGATATATGTGCTTTATCTAATAATGGCTAACTTCCCTTTGTATTCATTCCAGTTCCTGCATTACGGGCTGTGGGAGACCAGGAAAGCAAAGATGGTTTATACCAGAAATGGCAGTTGTTGCTCGCCTACATACTTCATTTCTTGCCCTTCAGTGTCATTAGCATAGCACTTTTTAGCATCTTTATATACTGGTAAGTGCTTGGCAGATAAGCAAATCTTTCTGCATATAAATTGCTACTTGTCAGGAATAAGACTTGTGCTGTTGTCAAATAACACTTTGCTTTCACGGAGATTTGAAGAAGGCAAGAGTAATGGCATTGTGGGTTTCATCCTATCACTTGTTCTCATGATAAAAAATGTGGCCCTTGGTCTAAACTCATTACTGGGTAGTCAAGATTGGTTTCTACATTTGGTAAACTACATAGTACCATCCTTTGGAGTGTGTACCACTTGGGACTGAAAAGAATCATATTTTTGAATGCACACTCACGTAAAAAAACCCTCTGCTTTAGCCCTCTGCACGATATACTTCCCATCCACAGCTCTTACTAGTGAATGATCTGCTAACAGAAACCTGTTTCCATAGTGATCTCATTTATTTGCTCCATCTCCCCCCCCCTTGTACCTAAGTGTGGGTGAAAAGACAGAATAGTAATAATATTGCTTCTTTTAAAAAGACATCCTTTTATTTGTATAGGACTGTGGGATTACACCCAGATGCTTCAAGTTTTGGATATTTCTTTGCTGCTGTTTTAGTACCCCATATCGTAGGAGAATTGCTTACACTTGTTTTTCTTGGGGTAATTCAAAATCCCAACGTGGTCAATGGAGGAGTAGTGCTACTTACCATAGCAGGAGTCCTAGCAGGAAGCGGACTTGTAAGGTACAGTACAACATTACCCACAAATTGGGTTTTTATATAATATGCTAACAGGAAGATCAAGGTGGGTAGCCGTGTTGGTCTGAAGCAATAGAACAAAGTTAGAGTCCAATGACACCTTTAAGACCAACAAAGTTTTATTCATGTGCACGCACACTTCGTCAGGCGATGAAATGGAATTGCATATCAGAGCTGTATCTGTAGGAGTGGTTTGTTAGATTAGCATGCAAAATAGTGAGGACACTTTTTTAACAGATCAAAAGAATGACAAGCTTAGTTCTTTTCCGGTTCAACTGGGGGGTGGGAACAACATAGGTAATAAATCTGTTAGAACTGGAGATTGATGTGTCCTAATTTGTGAGAATCCCATCCTTAGACCCCATCCATTTCCTTCCAAGCACAGAGGTGAATTTTACAGCATCTTGGCTGTGTAGAGTGTTTTCCTTGTCCCCAAAACAAAGAACTGCATTTAAATCTACTATTCCAAATTACATTACGTATTCAATTATATTCTTAATTGCTAAGAGTAGTAATAACATTTTGCTTCAATAAAACATGGAGTTAACTGACAGAATCCTTTTCCTGGGGCACAGTGTTATGTCAGAGATCAACAAGATATTGCACTGCATTACAATTACTATTATTATCCTTATTCTATTTTCCAGCGGGTTTTTTTTCTGTGCTAATACTTATTTCCACCAACAGGGGGCTTACTTTTCCCCAACAGCTTTTCCTACATAATCAGTAGATTTCCTGGGTTTGTAGAAAAATCCAAAAACTAAAAAAAATCCCTTCAGGGACGGCTGAATTCCCCCCAAAACCCTTTGAAATGGCCTCTGCAGGGATCTGCTTCAGGCATCAACTGTGAGAGAAGCCTTTTTTTTGCAGGGAGACAGACCTCTGCTGTCTAGAGTCCAGTTGTAATTCTGGGGGGTCTCCAGGTTCCATTTGGAGGTTGGCAACTCTAGGCCTGGCAGTAGTCTAGGGTTGCCAGGTCCCCCCTGATTTGCATGACTCACCTAGCCTCAGCTGCTTGCTACTGTTCATCAGCAGCAGTTAGAGCTTCAAAGTAGGGTCTGCAAGACCCAGGTTCAGATCCCCATCTTGCAGTGGAAGCTGACTGCATAATTTTGGACCAGTCACATATTTCAGCCTAACCAACCTCACAGGGTTGTTGTGCAGATAAAAAGGAGGAGGGAATAATGAAAGCTGCTTTGGTCCCCACTGTGGAGAAAGAATGTAATTTTCCTAGGTAGAGGCTGGGGGGTGGTGATGGAAAGCAGAAGACAGAGAGGCAGATAAAGGTAGGTTGGCTGTTGGGTGGGAAGGAAATAGGGTTGCCAACTCCAGGTTGGGAAATTCCTGGACATTTGAGGGGTGGAGCCTGGAGAGGGTGGGATTTGAGGAGGGGAGGAACTTTGGACTGGTGTAATGTCATAGACTCCACCCTCCAGCCATTTCCTCCACAAGAACCACCATTGCCAGCCTCCAGGTGAGGACTGGAGATCACCCAGAATTACAACTGTTGTCCAGACGACAGAGATCAGTTTCTCGGGAAAAAATGGCTGCTTTGGAGGGTTGAGTCTATGGCATCATACCCTGCTGAGGCTGCTTGCCACCCCAAGCCTCACTGTCCCAAGGCTCCACCCCCAAATCTCCAGGAATTTCCCAACCTGGAGCTGGCAGCCCTAAGGTGAATTGAACTCTGTAGCTGGGAGATCCGTTGTGATTCCCAGACTGCTGCCACTGCTGCTGTGGGGGGAGAGGAAGCAGGTGGGTGGCTAGAAGCACTGCCACCGCTGCTGCTGCTGCTCTGCGGAGTGGGGGATGAAGCAGAAGGAGGCTGGGAGAGTGGTGGGGGCAGAAAGACAGAGAAAGATTGATGAAGTTGGGAGGCAGAAAAACAAAGAGAAAGACGAAAGGTCAGAAAGAGAGAAGAAGTCACATGCATGGAGAAGAAATAGAGAGTAAGAAAAGGGGGGCAGAGGGGAGAAATAGTGTGAGAGAGGTAGGGGGTGAGGAGAAGAAGCAAAGGTGTGATGAATGAGATAACCATCCCGCAAGTTTCTTGCGGGTCTCCACTTGTCTATATATCTAATAGCCAAGGCGCCCCCTGCGTGCGGATATCTAAATCTGTACATTGGGGGCACCTGGGGGCAGGGAGATTTTCCTGCACATTTGGGGCAATCCCCAGATGTGCAGAAAAATCTGAAACCTATAAAAAACTATAGGGGGGATACTTATATCCCCCCAAAGTAAAGGAGCGTTCCCTGCGCATGCGCAGAGAATGCACTCACCACTAGGAACTGTGGCAGAGCTGTGCAGGGCTTGCCGCCATTGCTGCTGTCGGCAGCAGTGCCAGCGCGCGTGGAGGGGAGCCTTGGCGGGCTGGCGGCTGGGAGCTGCGGCCATTGCCGCTGGGGGGAGCCTGGCCGGTCCCGTGTCTAGGTGCCATGCAGGGCTTGCTGCCATTGCTGCTGGCAGCGGCGGGGGGAGGGAGAAGCCTTGGAGGGCCGGCGCTGGGAACCACAGACGTTGTTGCTGTCGGTGGTGGGGGGAGAGAAGCCTGGCGGCCCGGCAGCTAGAAGCATACAGGGCTCGCAGCCATTGCTGGCGGCCGTAGTGGCGTGGGGGGGAGAAACCTTGGAGGGCCGGTTGCTAGAGCGGGTCCCGTTTCTTGTAATATACTATTTCAAAATAAAAAGAAAAGAAAAACATCAAAATATAGGGGATGTATAGCCCTTCTTGGTGAGAATACATATGTGAGGATTGAATGAGTTAGCATGTGTAATGGGATAAGAAACCAATATCCCTTTTAAGTCCTGGCAGGGTGTTTGTTCTGAGTGTTGTACTAACTTGTAATTCAGCTACTTCCCTTTTCCATTCTGTTCCTGAAGTTCCTTTGCAATAAAACAGCTACTTTGAGGTCAGCCATTGAATGTCCTGGAAGGCTGAAGTGTTCCCCCACAGGTTTCTCAGTCTTTTGATTCCTGATGTCTGATTTGTGTCCATTTATCTTCTGGCGTAGGGTTTGTCCTGTTTGTCCTAAGTACAGAGCTGAAGGGCAATGCTGGCATTTAATGGCATATACAATGTTAGAAGATGAGCAAGTGAATGCACCTGAGATGGTGGGTTGGTGTTGTTGGGTCCAGTGTCTGTGTTGGCAGGGTGTTTTGTTGTTCAGTCGTACAGTCGAGTCCGACTCTTCGCGACCCCATGGACCAGATCACGCCAGGCCTTCCTGTCTTCCGCTGTCCTCTGAAGTTTGCTCAATTTCATGTTCGTTGCATCTATGACACTGTCTAACCATCTCATCCTTTGCCATCCCCGTCTTCTTTGACCTTCAATCTTTCCCAGCATCAGGGTCTTCTCCAGTGAGTGCTCCCTTCTCATTTGGTGGCCAAAGTATTTGCGCTTCAGTTTCATTATCTGACCTTCCAAGGAACAGTTAGGGTTGATTTCTTTTAGGTTTGACTGATTTGATCTTCTTGCAGTCCAAGGGACTCTCAAGAGTCTTCTCCAGCACCATAGTTCAAAAGAATCTATTCTTCGGCGCTCGGCCTTCCTTATAGTCCAACTCTCGCAGCCATACATGACTACTGGGAATACCATTGCTTTGACCATGCGGACTTTTGTTGGCCGGGTGATGTCTCTACTTTTTATCATGCTGTTTAGGTTCGCCATCGCTTTCCTCCCAAGGAGCAGGCGTCTTTTAATTTCATGGCTGCTGTCACAGTCTGTGGTGATCTGGGATTCCAGGAACGTGAAGTCTGTCACTACTTCCATGACTTCCCCTTCTATTTGCCAAGGAGTGATGTGGCCAGATGCCATGATCTTAGGGTTTTTTTGATGTTGAGCTTCAAGCCCACATTTGCGCTCTCTTCTTTTACCTTGAGCAAGAGGCTCTTTAGGTCCTCTTCACTTTCTGCCATTAGAGTGGTATTGTCTGCATATCTGAGGTTGTTGATCTTTTTCCCAGCAATCTTAATTCCCGCTTGTGATTCATCCAGGCTAGCATTTCGCATGATGTATCCGGCAGCAAAGTTGGCACCTGGGTTTATTGCAAGCTCTGGTACCAGTGTCCGTGTTCAAATTAGATGTTGCATTATTGTGGGTGAGGAGCTGTTTGAGATTGGGTGGTTGTGCGCAAGAAAAGGTTTACCTCCCAGTATTTGTGAAAGAGAACTGTCATTGTCCAGTAGAGGTTGTAAGTAATTAATGATCCATTCAACTGTTTCGAGTTGAGAGTTATATGTGATCACAAGGAGTGTACTGTTATTGTCCTTTTTGGGCTTGTCTTGTAACAGAAAGTCTGTTTTGATAGTTATGAGAGCACAGAAAGATTGTCTACGGGGGCGGTCACATGCGCGAGATAAAGCAGGGGGGAAGCGAGTCCAGGTGGAAGAACATCTGCTCGCTCTGGTCACTGGTGGGAGGGCAAGAGAGGAGACTCATGGACATTCAAGATAAATAAATAAATAAGAGAGGTCAGGCCAGATGGCAGCCCTGTGTAACCAGAACTCCAGGGCATTGGTGGAGGCAGGCTCAGAGGACTTGGCAAGGTACTCCCTTCCCATCACCTCTGCAAAATCCTCCACCATCATATGCCTGACATCCCTGCCGCTGCTGACCTCCCTGTTCACCACTGACAGCCAGTAGTGGGATTTCTCCCTTATTGTGCTCTTTGAGGCAGAGGAGCTAGGCTGCAGCTCCCCCCCTCCCCCCAGCCTCTTCTACCTGTTGTTCCCTCTGGCCATGTCTGTTGGCCTGTAGCCTCCACATGTCTTTGCAGAGCTCATACTTCCATTGCATGATCTCTGCATTCTGGAGAGCAATGCTGCTTTTTATCTGGGGGTCACACATACACGCCGGCTTGTACTCCCCTTCCTTGAAGAGAGGATGCAACCTAGTGGTGATGGCCACCTGCAACCTCTCTGTCAAGGTCCTGACCCATGAGAGAACAGCTGTCCCTTCAGGGCTCAGCTCCACTGTGGAGGCCAACGCCCGGTCCAGCCCTCAAATCAGGGGGATGACTTGCCCTAGGCTGGACGTATGGGCACAGAGCATGTTGGTGGTGTACAAAAGGGGCTTGAGGACACGCACCATTTGGGAGAGGGTCAGCCAGTCACTGGAGCTGATGCTGAGCTCCTCTTCCCCACGCAGAATGGTCATGGAGGAAATGACATCCTGCACTGCACTCTTCTGCTCCACCAAATCATGCCCTAGGTGTAGTTCCAGCAGGTGGTAAGTCCAGGATGAGCTGACGTTCAGGCTCATACCCTCCCCTTGCCTCTCGCACAGCAGGTGGGCAGACTTGATGCTGCATGGGAAGTGGCCGGCCAGGTGCTGGCAGGTCTCTAGCAAGGACCGCACCTCGAGGTTGGCCTTGAAAGTGCTCCCCAGCCCCAGAGCATCCTTCACCTGTGTGTGCCAGGCAGACAATGCCCTTGAGATGTAAAGCCTTCACTGCCACCAGCATGTTGGCACCAGCGTCTGTCACCATGTAGCCATGGACAATGTTGCTGCCGCCCACCCACTCCCTCAGGCTACTCTGTTATCACGGCAGCAATGTTTTCCACCATGTGATATACATCCATTCCAAGCATGGAGCAGAACCACTTTGTAGCCCAGTGGCAGGACTGTCTGCTCCTGGGGTCTTGGCCATGTCCCAATAGTCCGGACAGAGAGAACCACTGCTTGCCACCAGTGGGCGGTGATGGAGAGGTAGTCATGCTCCTGGCTGCTCCAGAGGTCTGTCGTGAAATGCACAGTTCTGCCTTGAGCTCTAGAGAGCTCACCCTTGACCAGCGCCACTGTGAAGTGGTGCATTGCGGGCAAGACTTGTTGGTTCATGGACAAGGGGATAGAGTACCAGGGCGCCAGATGTTGCAGCAGCCAGCGAAAGGCTATGTCCTCCCCAAGGGAGAAGGGTTGGCCATCTACAGCAACTATCTTGCTGATGAAGTGAGTGACTGCTTCCTGGGCCCTCCACATAGCCCTTCTGGATGACACTGTCAGCGTCCCCAGGGGAAAGACCTCTTGAAGAGTGACCTGCCTTGATGTCCCACCCATGGCACCCCAAGTGCACCGAGCCTTTCTTGGAGGGCTCTCCTGCTCCCCCTCTGCTTGTCCCTGATGAGAGCAGTAGGCCTCTTCTTTCTCCTGTTGGCCGTCACTCTTTTATCCAATGATAACATACAGGGGTGCACCCTTTGCAGGTACCTGCAGAGGGCAGTGGACAAGTGTTGGGGGTTTGCACCCCTCAGGACACGGGTGTGGCACACCTGGCACTCTGCTACACAGGGGTGTACTTGAAGTGGGAACAGCAACAGGAAGTTGTGATGCGGAAGGAGAGGATACTTCCCTGCCGTCTGAATCACTGCTGTCAGCCTTCTGCTTTCCAAAGTGCATTAGCAACTGCTGGCGTCTTGGTAGTGCTGAGAATGCTACAAGGGTCAGGCTACAGCATATAATATTTGTCCAAAGAAATATTTATTATAAGGTGGGGAAGTGAAACAGAATGGGGGGAAGCGAAACAGAGAGGTTTAAAGGCTTCCTCCCAGGGAAACTGATCAGCTGATAGGCAGACCTGCCGCGCAGACGTGGGTGAGCTCGCCAGCCACTCAGAGTTCACTGGTGTGCAGAACGGCTTTGAGTATCCATTATACCCCATGGGGACTGTCCCCATAGGTTATAATGGAGCCAAATAAATTCAGCAAAACTGATTATTTCCCAAATCCTAATAGCATACCGATATTGGGATTCAGGAATATCCATATATACTGATATTTTCCAGGTTTGGTACACCCGAACCCCAAAAATACCATTTTTTTTGTGCACACCCCTAGTCAGTTCCCATCCCTCATGTACTTCAGTTATTTAAAAAAACCAAAAGAAACCAGACTCTCCTGCCCTCCCCCCCATTATCTATGAACATGCAAACAATAAACTTGCTTCCATGTCACAGAGGTAGACTGTTATGTGACACTACATATATTTAAGTAGTCCAGTCATTAGCAGCTTTACTCAACCGGGATACAAGTGTACCACAGACAGCACACATCCATGTAAGAATTTCCATTTTCAGGCAACTCTTCAGCATTGGACACAGAAAAACAGTTAATGCTTGAAACATTAGATGGAATTGAGCAGGTTTACAGAAATTGGGGTGTTTAAAATTAAGCAGCAGAGAGTGGTCAACTGTGGCAAATGTTCATTGACTTTTATCTATTGTGTTTTGTCAGGAACTTGGAGGACATGCCAACTGCTTTTAAGATGCTAAGTTATCTTGCTTTCCAAAAGTATGGCAGTGAGATTCTTGTTGTGAATGAGTTTTCTGGATTAAAATTCACATGTGGTGGTAAGTGCTAAAAATATTCCCCAAATGTACATGCTGTTACGCATAATCCACTTCTACAAATTATGTTCTAAGGCCAGCATTCACCTTTGGAAGAGAGAGCACTGAAGATTTGCCCCATTTTTGTGGTATTTGCTTTATTTAAATGTATACAAGTAGTGCACATGTGGTAGAGGCAAAGAAGCACTCCTACAGGTCAACAGATCCACTTCAGCCCAAGATCCCCTCCCTCCCTTCAGCTCCCCAAACTACCTGCACCCACTTCAGCCAAATCAGTTAGGTTGTGGTCACACGGTCATTTTGATTGGGTTTCACCGCTGTTCCCTCTCGCATTTAAAATTGCTGATCAGACAGCCGCATCCGTCTCCTGCACCAAAGTGGGCTCACTCGCACAATCCTCCCAGTTCCCTAGCAAGTTTTCCTACACTCGGAAAATCAAGTATTTTCCAGATATTTGCGCTTTGAATCCGTGGTTTCGCCGATCTGGACAGCCATTTCTCGCAATGATCGCGATTAGGTCATCTGAACGTCCTTCTTGCTATGTTTTTTTAACAAGCTTCCGTTGTGCGCATGAGCAATCCTGTGCTGAATACATTCAATGTTTAAACATTCAAGCGCACATATAGACTCCAGCACTCAGTTGTACGTCACCGGTTAATTTTGTTTGCTGTTGGGGGGGGGACCTGCAAGAACAAGGGAACATGGCAAGTCCCAGTGGGAGTGGTGATTCGGCCATGTGTATATGCGCAAAGCCAATTTTTTTTAAAAAACAAGCCATGCCACCCAAGTGGTGGCACAGCTATCTGAATGGCACCTGGAGCCTCATTACGCGATGAGCGGTGAGAGCGTTGTAGGGAGGGATGTGTGGTCATCCCAACCCAAAGAAAAAAAAATCCCGATCAAATCTACAGTGGGAACAAATCGCGGTAAGCTTGCTATGTTACTGGCTTCTGACACCAAGCTAAAACATTTTTGCTCACCCATGCTTTTAATAGAATTGTATCTCTTTGCCCTGCCACGTTATTGTTATTTGATTTTATGCTTTGATATTGCTGTTTTTATTGTTTGCTGCTTCTAAATACTGTTGACTTTAGTGTTGCAGCTTTACTTTATTTTTGTCTAATGAGTTATTGTTATATTTTTGATGATAAATTGGATTTTTATTGTTTGGCTGCCTTGGGCAAACTTTGGAGAGAGTGGGATATAAATCCTTCAAATAACTAAACAAAATGACCAAAAAGTGGAAGAAGCAGGAGAATTAATATGAGCTTACTAATGCAAGATGAAGTTTCCTTTTGCTGCTGCTCTTATATTGGTTAGGAGAGCACTAAGCAGTGCTGCTGACCTACCCTTGGGAATCTGTGCACCTTTCCAAGCCGAAGTCTGTTCCAGCATAATCCCATATCAGGGAATGGACAGAAACCATAGAGAAGTGCCTCCAGCTACCTCAGCAGATTAGATAAAAACTTTGAGGAAGCAATATGAAAGATTTTGCAGTCTGCAACTATGCTCAGTTCTGCCACACCTTCACAGCACCTGAATCAAACAGCTAGCATTTCTGAGGAGATCTGAGAAAGCAGCTTAACCAGCACTGATGCTTAATTCTTCATGTAGATTGAACATTGTACTGTATGTTCTCAAAACAAGTTATATATTCAGAACCAGCAACATAGCATCATAATATAAACATATTCTTTTGGCAGGTCTCTTCAATGTTTCTACTGGAGTTGGAGCTTCGTGTCCATTCTCTCACGGGATTCAGTTCATTGAAAGAAACTATCCTGGAGCAGTATCCCGGTTCACAATGGACTTTTTACTATTATATACCTTTATCCCAGCACTCATAGCTCTAGCAATTATAAGTTTTAAAATAAGGGATATAATTATTCTTAGGTAATAAAAATACCACTAAATGGTTTGTAAAAGTACTGTATTTTTTATACTTTTGTTGAAGCTGAAAGTACAGCTTGAACTGTGAAATCAAAGCTTTTTCCTGTTGTTGAATGATTAAAGTCATTCCATTTAGTCTTCCATTAACACTTCAAAAAAAAGAAAAAAACCTCAGTTTTCTTAATTCACCTTAGAGAAATTAAATGGATGATCCAAGAAGAGGCAATTTGATGGTTATTTTTCTCTTTCTGTGATATCACAACCAGGCTTGCATTTTCAGTTATTTTTTTTAGGTTGTCTTAGGAACAAATCTTAAGTATTATGATAAAAAGAAGGAACTATAAATGCTATGGAATAAATTAAAAATCTTAGTTATCACATTCTGTGTTAATTTGGTTTCATAACTTTACGCTCATATTTAATACATTCATAACGACCTGGAGATCTGTGAAGAATGGGGGGGTGGGGTGGAAGACCCACACAGTCATCTCTCCCTGCAGGATTCTATCAACTCCACATGCTCCATAGGTTGGAAAGAGGCTCCTACCTACACTTTAAATCAGTGCTCAACTGTCTTGACATGGTTTCCCTTCTGAAACATTCATAGACCTCATAAGGCTGTTTTTGGGGCCTTTCCCCCTCTTTTGGTTAATTGACAAAGTCATGTATTTAGTGATCCCTACTTTGTGGGTGGCCCAGTTTTGCTGCTTTCATTATCTACACAGGTATCAGCTATGTAGAACATATGACCAAATTGTTCCCCCACCCTGATTCCTCACACGCTCCCAGCTTATCCAGTATTAAATGATCCAACACATCTACTGCTGTTTCTCATCATGTAACATCTGGGTTTCTTCTTAGTAAGAAAGAGTGACATGAAAGATTCAGGCATAATCCACTGGTATTTATCATCAATTGATAACCATAATTATGATGAACTACTTACTATATGTTTATTACATATTTTACCAAAGGTACAAAATGTACTCAAATACAATGTAAAGGTACAAAACACAACTAAAGTTGAAATATGGTTGAGAGCTAAGTATCTCTCCCAGTCAAGAATCAAACTCCATTTCTTTCCATGTTTTTGCAGCATTCCTCTTGTACTGTTCTAGTTCCTAAAATGGAAGCATATAATAATTAAGCATTAACAGTCATATTAACAATTACACATCTAGTTTTAATCTGAGCAGGTTCCATTTCCTCCTTTATTATACCAAAAACAAGGGACAACCAGGGCTGTAGTCAGCAGTGGGGCTTTAGGGGCAGAACCCCCTGTGATTAAGGTGGAGCCCCATCGTGGCTGGGTTGAAGGTGCCATAGCAGAAGGAGCGCCACTCCATGCCGCCACCCACTGCCTCCTCCACCCAGGTGCTGGCGGCCAAGAACCAGGTGGCACAAAGGAGAACAACAATGGAGGGGATAGGGGCAACCTGTTTGGGGGCCCATAGAATTGGTCCCCCTGGTCCAATGTTCTTCAAACCTGGTTGGTATCTTGGGGAGAGGCTCCAGCAGGTACCCTGCGAGTTTGGAGCCTCTCCCTCAAACCCCCTCCTCTCCAGCCCCCAGAATATACCCTATGTTTTCGCCATTGACTTCAATTGCCCATAGGATATAATGGGGCCGAAATTGACATTCGGCTGGCCCTTTTTCAGGCCGGGCGTTCTAGAGCGGAGCCTGAAAAAGGAGGGGGGGTGGCTCTGCAGGCCGTTTTTCAGGCCTGGCACTCTGGTGCGGAGCCTGAAAAAGGTGGTGAGGGCAGCTCAGCAGACCCCCCGCGGTGGTTGCAGCTGCCGGCCATAACTTTTTAAAGAGTCTCTAAGGACAGCTGGGAGAGCCAGAATGACCTCTCTTGAGAGGTGGAATTTGCCCCTATGAGTCCAAGGCCCCCACCCCGGGGCCCAGGGAGGCAGGAGAACGTTTCACCCCGTCCCCTCGGGCGTCGCAGCTGCCACCGAGAACAGCCTTGGCCAGGCAGAGACGGGGGGAGAGATTTTTCCTGGGGTGCGCGGCTTTGCGCACCTCCGGGAAGGTCTGGGTTGGCCCTGGAGGCCTAGTGGAGGCTGCTGGAGCAGCCTTGGCCAGGCAGAGATGGGGGGAGGAAGCCAACTTACCCTCCTGCTTCTTCCTCGTTCTGGAAAAGAATGAGGCTTGAAGCAGAGGGCAGCCGGAGAAGGGGGTGGGGCTTCCTCCCCCATCTCTGCCTGGCCATGTGACCGCCCCCCATGCCTCTTTCCCGGAGTGACGTACCGGCGTGCTCCGGCCGGATCCGAGGCCTGCTCGTGTATGTGAAGAGCTCTTTAAAAGTTCCTTTAAGAATTCTTCAGTCTATCAACTGTTTACCGGAATTAGATAGCTTATCCTCTCCTATACTGTCTTATGTTTTTGGAAAATACCTTGTCTGCCCTATAACCAGACACAAGTCAAGAGGCCAGCAATTAACCAAAGACCATGTTGCTAGAAATCATATCTGATAATATCGAATAAACATTACACGAACTGCTTAAATATATGCTGACTGCAGCCAGAATAGTAATCGCAACTAAATGGAAAGCAGAAGAATGCCCAACCAGTGACAGTTGGAGAAACAAAATGTCAGGATATGCTGTAATGGCAAAATGAACGAATTATATAAATAGAAGACTAATTAAAGAATTTGAAAATAAATGGGAAACCTACTATGTGTACGATAGATAAAGAGAAGTGGCACAAATAACTCTTAATTTGGTTCAGTCTTGTAATTCCTGAAATGAGGTCTACTATAGTTTTTCTTGTTTGAGCTTTAAACACTGATCCGTTAGCTAACATATTTTATATCTAATCAGTTTTCAATCTATATTTAGTTTGTTATTATACTTTTTGAAAGATCTCTGAACAATCTTACCTTTTAAAATTATAGTTTGTCTATAGCAATCATAGAATATAAGATAATATTTTAATAATCATTTAAGAATTAATACATTGCTATGACAAGATTCAATGTTAAATCTTTTTGATTTTAAGCTAACTAGTCTATATAGTATATATAGCTCATTAAATGACCACATATGCTGAATGCTTATATAAAACAGTCCCTTTAATTCCTTTTAATTCCCAAATACTTGATTGATGTAATTGTAACAGTTAAAGATACATTGAGTTTGAGAAAGTATTTTTGAATATTTTATACTTGAAATTTAAATGTTATGTGGTTATTAAGACTTTTAATCATCCTTGTAATATAAAATTTAAATATTATTACTCCTCTTTCCTTATTTTCTTTCTGTATCCCTATCCTTTCATTAATTTAAAAAAATTAAAAGGCCAGCAATATACAAATAATTCTTATTTTCTCCCATGGAAGGGGTTAAAAGATTGATTTGCAAAGAGGTTTAAAAATATTTACAATTCCACCACACAGCTGATGTTGGGCACAGTCAGTAGGAAAAGAATACAGTTAAAATGTATGTGTATAGGGAGCACAGAGCAAGTATTAGCCAAGCTTATGGCCTTTTATTGTAACATTTAAAGTTTTCCTGGTTCATTATTCAGGGGATACACACTCCCCCATCTCCTGGTTACGATCTCTTGTGACTTTTTCACATACACCTAGTTTAACCCTTTAATTTTTCCACAAGCACAGAAAGACTAAATTTCAAATGTGAGCTTCTCCCAGCAACCATACTTCATTAGCGTGCCTCCTCAGAAAACTGACTCTGAGTCCCCAGATTTTCTAATTCAGTATCTCTGGTAGTTAACCCTTGTCTGACCAAAAAGACAGTTTAACAGAATTTTTTCTTGTCAACTCCTCCCTACCTAGTTCCTCCATAATTCCATTGGCCCTGATGGGCCATTATCTGCTCTTCGCACACTCCAACCAGGCATAAAGGGGACTGGCTGTCTATAGAAAGGGGCAGGGCCATCACACCCTCTATAAACAGTCACAATCCAGCACACAGCTATGCATACTTAAGAAATCTGAAATCAGTGCACTGTGGTCAAGTAGCAGGAAAACTTAAATGAATTAATATAATATGGAGAACATAAAATACAGCACTTTTGAAATAGAAGAAGCAAGCACAAAAAGCCACAAAAAGAAAACTGCATGGAATATGACAGCAATATTTGTAAACCTTAATTATAAATGTGTTGTAAACAAAGTCCAGCCTGCATCACACAGACCAACTATCAGACATCTTTCAAACCACTGAACAAATAGTAGTTTTATCTTTCAATTTCACAATCTGATTGTACTGTATGTCATTCTGATTCTAAAAGCTATTGCTCTAGCTATGTGGCTTTATCTACTTCAACAGCAACATCTCAGAATTACTTGCACATTATTTTATTGCATCCATATCATTTTACTTTTTATTATCTACTACTTGTAGTTCAAAGACCAGTTATCCCAATGCTACTAAACTGAGGAAATGTGTTAACATGCTCTTAAGTACAGTCTAGAAGTTCTCCCAAGTTACAGTCCTGTTCGCTAAACAGATCCTCTGTACCAAAACAGTATACCTATGAACACATTGCTTTTGGCAAAACTGGACTAGTATCTGTGAGACCTGGATTTGAATCCCCATGGAAGCTTGCTGGGTGACCTTGGGCCAGTCACACTCACTCAGCCTCACAGGGCTGTTCTGAGGATAAAATGGAGGAGAGGTGAACAATAAGGGAGGCCTCTAGCTATCACGTCCTGCTTGTGTGCTTCCAAAAGTGTATGACTAGCTGCTGTTGGAAGGGACTAGATGGCTCCTTATTTATTTATGATAGTAAAACCACAAGCAATTACATAACAGCACAGAAAACTATCTACAGAGTAAGGTAGAAACACACAGCAAGTACCACCTACTAATCCAAATCAAATGCCTTCAAAAAGAAAAATATTCTTCTATCCTTTTGAAACATTTGGATGGATGGCACCAATCTCACTTCCAGTAAATGTTCCACAAAGTAGTATTTTAGAAAGTAAAAGGCCACCTGGTTAACCTTTGATACTTGCCTGTCCAAGCACAATGCAAAGCCTAAGATCACTTGTAAACTGCAAGCCCGGTATTTTAGACAGAAAAACAGGTTGCTTACCTGTAACTGAAGATCTTCGAGTGGTCATCTGTGCATTCACACCCATGGGATACAGTGCGCATGCGCTGGATCGATCGGCATTGTAGCAAGCCCTTAACGGATTTTCACGCCCAGACCTCAGGCATGCGCAGGAACCCCACCACGCATGCCCAGAGGGGTGGGCGTGGACATCATAAGAACATAAGAGACGTTAATGTTGGATCAGGCCAAAGGCCCATCTAGTCCAACACTCTGTCACACAGTGGCCAAAAATACCAGGTGCCACCAGGAGGTCCACATCCCGCCAGTTCCTTCAGACCGCCGCAAATCAACCCCTATGAAAGATGTAGAAGCTGACAGCAGCAGGGAAGGAGGGCGAGTGGTGTGAATGCACAGATGACCACTCGAAGATCATCAGTTACAGGTAAGCAACCTGTTTATCTTCAACGTGGTCTCTGTGCTTCACACCCATGGGAGATTAGCGAGCAGTGGCCTACCTGGAGGAGGGTGCTGGCAGGTCGTTACTGCGAACCTGAGGATAAGATGTGATGTCCCATGTTGGTACGAGAGTTCTTTCGGACATCTAGGGCGTAGTGCCTTATGAATGTGTTAGGCATAGCCCACGTAGCGGCTCTGCAAATGTCCATTAAGGAACTCCCTGGAGGAAGGCAGTTGAGGCTGCAACAGCTCGGGTTGAATGAGCCCTGATAGGGCCAGGAAATGGCTGCTTAGCAATAAGGTAGCAGAGACGGATGAGACCTACAATCTACCTTGACAAACGCTGAGCCGTGATGCAAGTTCCCAGCCTTGCTGGCACGTAGGAGATGAACAGTTGACAGTCACGTCTTGTTGGACGGGTTCTGTTTAAGTAGAACAGAAGCGCACGCTTCGTATCCAATGTGTGTAACAGCCTCTCCTCTGGGGATGTAGGAGCCGGGAAGAAATCTGGGAGGAAGACCTCTGCCTGTAGGTGAAATTCTGGCACTACCTTTGGCATGAACGAGATGTCAGGTACAAGGCGGACGCCGTCTGGCAAAAATGACAAGTAAGGAGTGTCATGTCTGAAAGCCAGTAA